TGCCGGTCTCTCTTACATTATTTATACGCTAAACGGTTTCGTCTATATTTTGCGGTTTAAAAGGCGAACAAACTATAAAATTTTTCTTCCTTAAACTTTAAGTGAGCAATACAAAGCGCTTTTTATCAAATGAGGAATTGGCGTAGTGTCTAAGGCGACGAACGGTTATCCAAAAGATGTCTTCAGTTCAAGTTCGAATCTCACCAGAGAAAATCTTAAAAATGATGAAAAAATAATATAGAAAAACTTTTTTTTCATAGTATTATATGAGTATTTATATGAAAAAGCGCTTATTCTATGAGTAATTATGAAAAATCATGAGAAAATTTAATTGAAGAACCTAGGAAACGACAGGATCTGCGCGCAATCTGCCGTCAGAGTCTGTTCGCAGACCCTGTCAACAGTCTGGCGGCAGATTGGGAACGCAGATGTCTATGGATCTGTCGACAGATCCTGCTCGGATTCGACAGATCCTGTCGACAGTCTGACGTTAGTCTGCGCGCAGATTGCTTACTGGGTAATTATGCATATTAAGGGACATCTCGCCGATGACTTTGATCTTCACATAGTTGTCAAGGACATATCCCTGAGTAACTATTCTAAAGATTTTAAGTGGCAGTCTCTCTTTATTAAAAAGTTATGAATAAAAGAAGTTGACTATTTGGGCTGTATGTATGTTATTTTCCGATTGTATGTATGTATGTATGTATGTATATATTATTACAGACATCTTACTACATGCATAAAGTACACATGATGCGCGGGTGAAGGACTCCGTCCCTCCCCCCGAACTTCCTCCCTAAAAAACTAATCCTAACTTATCTAATGCAATATTCTAAACCGTACATGATGAGTTTGGTTAGGGTTAGTTTTTTGAAAAGGGGGCGCGGGGGAAGGGGCGAAGCCCTATATGTCTACTGTTCACCATATTTCCATATAGTACACGTATATTCCACAAAGTACACGTGTATGCGTGGGGGAGAAACTCCGCTCCTTCCCCCGCATCCCCTCCCCAAAAAAACTAACTCTAACCAAACTTATCATGTATGGTTTAGAATATTGCATTAGATAGGTTAGGTTAGGGTTAGTTTTTTGGGACGGGGTGCGGGGGAACCCTTCCCCGCGCATCACGTGTACTTTGTGCATGTAGTAAGATGTCTGTATACAGAGTGTTTCACAACTGATAGAACATCCGTTAAGAGTAGGTAGGGGGTGCAATTTGGAACTGAAAGTTTCTCTTCCATTTTTGGATCCGACAATTAGTTATATATAATGAGATATTAATTAATTAAGTCTGTCAATCCCTTAGCGCCCTGAGTGAGCGCGCAGGGACGTAGGATACCCTGGATTCCTCAGGAGCTCTGCTTGTCCACGTTTTTCTGTACACACACACTAAAATCATTCACGATATTCAACCACCGACATGCAGAAAACATTCAAGTCACCCGCGCATTCGAAAGAAGCAGAACATATATGCCCTCCTCCTCCAACACATAAAGTGCATGTACTCTGCCCACTCGCACCAAAAACATTCACATTTTCCATACACTCATAACTGCACACAAAAACACCGATATATCATCCCCACACATTGAAAACTTGCCATGCCTTTAGCTCCGGTCAGACATCCATCCAAACATCCATTCACTCACTCATCAATATTTATTTCTCTGTGATACAAAAAAGGGGAGAAAAACGGACAAGTAGGGCCCCTGAGAAGTCCACAGCATCCTATGGCCCTGAGCGCTCACTGAGGGCGCTAAGGATTGGCAGACTTAATTACTTAATATCTCATTAACTCATTATCGGATCCAAAAATGGAATAGGAACTTTCAGTTCCAAATTTCATCCCCTACCTACCCCTAACGGGTGTTCTATCAATTGTGGAATACCCTGTATAATATATACATATATACAATCGGAAAACTACAGCGCAAATAGTCAACTTCTTTTGTTCATAATTTTTTAATAAAGAGAGACTGCCGCCTAAAACCTTCAGAACGTTACTCAGGAGACTTACTTTTATCATATATGTGAAGGTCAAGGTCATCGGCGAAGTGTCTCTGAATATGCATAATTACCGTATAGAGAGACAACACGAAATTTATTTATTAATCAAAGCGAGATGATTTATTACGAAATGTAATTGGTTCAAAGCCGGAAGTATCAAGTTTGATTCTGATTAGATGTGAGCATATTTTCCAAATACAATATTAATGAAATAGACTAAATAGTAAATAATTAAGGAGATTCATGATCACAATCTTAATGAACAATGCAGTAAAACAGAATATTCATTT